ATATCACCAATGAATTAGGGGTGGGCAATGACATATAATTGTCCCTCTTCAAAGGCATATGATGCCCTAATGTAACTAAAGCCCAGCAGTTAGGTTGCTGAACTTTACCCTCCTCTGCTATCACTGCAGACTAGCAGGGTCGCCTATAGAGCAGCGCTAGTAGCCTTTTAATGAAGTTATGTTCTTTTTATTTGAGGGTTGTTCCATTTCACAGAGGAAGTTTTCAACCAGTACACCTTAAAGTCAGTTCCAAGGGCAAAGGAGGCACTCAAAAACACGGGGTAGGGGTAAAAATAAGAAATGGGATTGGGCCGAAGAGTAGCTTGTGTATTACTATTTAAATATAGAAAGGTAGTTCAGAGTGCTTCACAGAAAGTGTGCAGAGCAAGCATAAAAGAAACCAAAAGCATAAATGAAACAGAAAAAATATTTGAAAGCTACACAGAGGATGAAAGCTCAAAATAAATTTTTCATCTGTCAGCAGAAGCAGTGTGATGGATCTGAGCCGGAGCATAAAAACAGAACATTGTCTCTCCACTTGTCGAAACGTCCAGCCTTTCATCCCATTTGGAATAAAATCAAGCACTCTGCAAACACTAAATCATTTAACACTTTACAAACTAACAGAGCAACTTTGAAAATCAGTTCTTGCAGAGCCAGCTGAGCAGTGCAGTGACACGGGAACCTGAAGAAACAGAGAAACGTTCTGTTAGTGTATCACATATTGTTGCATCCACCAGCCATGAGGATCTTAGGGGGTGTGGCCATGCAGTGAGGCTCTCGGAGTGCGCCATTCACCCGGCTATAAAGGAATAGCTGCTGTTGTTTTTGTATTGTTGTAGTTGTGTTTATGTGAGTAATTGTGTGATTGGAGGGTGGGCTTGGTAGTGTAACTAGTGGTTAAAAGTGTCACCCCCTCCACGTTTGTCGTGTTACCCCTCCCTCGGTAGCCTATACATGTTATGTTTACACGTCTTCTTCTATGCTGATGCTGATACCTGCTTTATCTAATCAATACATCATTATGTTAAATCAGGTGCTGCTGATGGAATTGAGTAAATCCATGTGATGTCTGAAATCTGGAACCAAACTTTGTTCTTCAAACCAGCTCACTAGATATCAAGTACAGCCCCTGTTTTAAAAAGAAATGCTTGTTACTTTTTGCACCATAATAACAGGCACCTGATAGCTTAGAGTGCTAGTTATACATTTTAGCATGTTTTCTGTTCCTTCATTAAGATTTGCATACTTACATTGACTTTATTAATGTATTTGTGGCCTAATTGACCTGCTGCTCTCTTTCAGGGCCATTTCCAGCTGCAGCTCAACTTTTTTAGACGTCCAGCCTTTCATCAGCTTTAAGATGTGTTTATGTCGATTTCCTCCTTAAGCTCTTCAGCTTTTTCAATAATCCAGCATAGATCAGTAATGATATCTCTTGTTCGTTTCCTTTCCTACATCCTGCTTTAGTCTGTGCTGAATCATCTTGAGCATCATTTTCTGGTCTGTGCATAGCTGCTTTCTAGCCTTCATAACTTCATAACAGTTTAAGTTGCAGACATGATATACACATCAGAACACTCAGCAGACCTGGCCTTACTAAACAGCACTTCATTCAGCTGTAACCAACAATCAGCCAGCAATCCAGCTCCAAAAACCATCCAGAATTCTCTTGCCACCATTAAATTACATCTCTGCATTTCAGCATTCATATTATAACAATCATTATAACAATTATTATAGCTCATGACAGTAAACATGGGACTCAATTTGTAATTAAAAGTAAAGCCTATCTTGCTGTGTATCAGTTATAGCACTCAGCATGAATCCAAGAGAACATAAAAATAAATAAAAACGTGGCTGCCTTTGCTAATCATTTATATTTACTCAATGATAAGCAATAGAATGAACCACCATAAAAAAATTCTATTCATTTTCAGCTCACAGACACTCCAGATTAACAACATCCAAACATGGTATCTGAAGTGACACTTGTTTTCAAATCTGTATACAATTTTGCAGATGCCAAGTAAATTTTTGATGAAAAATTAGCCAAAATAAGAAAGATATCAGAATTCTATTAGCATTTACATGTCAAATAATGCTCTGAAAATAACTACATATGACATATTTGACTGTCTTATGTAAGTACTTTATAAGTTTGATTGTAATTGACCAAAACACCAAATCAACCACACTGTATTATTGTAGGGTTCTAAGAGTTAAAAATGAATGCCCCTTGGCACTTAAGTATGGCATGAATGTGCAAATACTTTTCAGGATGACTGTATAGAGCTACCAACAAAAAAAGACAAAATAATTAACCAACATCAACAAATCTAATTTAAGCTGAGATGGAAGAAAGAAGTCTTAATTAGTAATATGTGTTTTTAATAAAGGAATGAGAACAATAAATATATACTTATGCAGACAGGCTAGCAACAGCTCAGTTGCATCAAGGTAACAGCTTTCAGCTATCAGTGTTAACATGTTTGGGTTCCTTTATTAAGATTTTCTATATGAAAACACATCTAAGACGTACACGTGTAATTTAAATAGTTGAAAGTTATTCTGTGGCCTCAATTAACCACCTGTCTTTTGGAGGTCATCCGCTCTGCGTGTGGTTACAGGGCCACTTTTCCAGCTGCAGCTCAGCGTCAGTGGTCTAGACTGATGGATCTCTTTGCCCTTGTTTACCTGTCCTTCAGCTTCTCCTCCGTTAGCTCTCACACCTGAGTGACTTCCTGTCGTTTTCCACCTTCTCCTCCATCTGTTGCCTGGGCGTCCCGTGGCTCTGAGCAGAGGAGGGGGTGATGACGATTCATCTCAGCGTCAGACACTCATTAGTGCTGATGGTTTCTCCTCATAAGGCCGCATATGGCCGGTCTGGCAGCCTGATGCACATTAGAGCACAATGAGAAACTCCTTCACTGCTTCGCACTGAGGAATGCTTTCGTCTTAGTTATGTAAGCAAGTGATGGAGATGCTAATCCTGACCATGTTTCCAGAAGCTCATTGAGGCTGTTACCAAGAACACTACTACTAATAATAATAGTAATAGTAATAATATCTTTTTAAATATCTTTTTTATGTCGGTGGCAGCTCAACGTGCTTTACAGACAGGAGATAAAGCTTAACAGTAATAGAAGGAACTATGAGTACTAATTTAAAATCACATGAGACAATAACATCAACATTTTAATTAAGCGCTAAGTGAAAGGGAAGTTTTTGCTTATTGAAAGTGATCACTGAGCTTGAGTGTCTAATAAAAGGTGAACTGAGCTCCACAGTATATACTAGAAGCAGAATAACAAATACATCATAAATGTCTTATTGCAGGTCACATGACTTTAGAAGCTTTAGAAGAGCTATTATTGAGTTATTATACTCATTTTGCTCTCTTTCAATGTAGTGATGTAATTACATAACCAGAGAGGAACCCTCAGGGCTCTCTAGGTTTATAGAGAAGACCAAATGACTTCTGGGAACTGAGAGATGTATGTCTGAATGTTAAGTTCATTTTTATTCAGTAGAATCATGCTTGTATTGAACCTCTTCCAGTATTACAGCATTAATGTTGTTTCAGTGTCAAGTTTGGAACGGAAACAAAAGAGTTAAATTCTTGAATACCCCAACTGGCCAATCAGGAATTGTTTTTCTGTAAAACTGCTACAAGGTGAAATATAGCGTTGTGGTTACAACAGAACCTTGTATCACCAAAAAGGAAACTTAACAGGACCAGGAACTTTCTTAACTTTTAATAGAAGTATATGGAGAATTTTTTTTTTAATAATTTTGGGCCATTTTTGTTGGTCTGTTCATCATGAAATTTTGACACAACATTAAGAACAACTGCCTTTTTCAAATTATGTCAAAAAAAAGGACATACAAGGTTTTGTCCCAATAGCAACGATATGCTAGCTTTGAGTAAAACATTGAACATCCTTTAGAAACTTCTGTTGTCTGTGTTTAATCTAGAACTATCTTTCTAAAATTTTCTGTTCCACTTTAAACGGTGCAGCAGTTACATTCTGGTGGTAAATATGGCAGAATGATACTGCTGCATTGTTTAAAGGAAATTTACTGCCATCTTAAATTCATTGCCACCTTAAATACATTGCCACCTAAAATTTACTTCCAGCTTACATTTACTGATACATTAAATCCAGTGCTGTTAAAGGGAAATTCAATAGGAGGCTAAATTCATCCTCTGCAGAAAGTGTTTATGCAAATTGCCATTAACAAACTATCATTGACATTTGGCTCAAATTGCCCTTATAAAACAGCCCTTATAGTCATGGTTCACTTCACAAAACCAATACTTAGCTACATGCTGAAGTATGTTTAATTATTATTTAACATAAAACAAGCAAAACAAGACTGAACAAAGAGAGAGAAATAATTAGAGTCATATTACAAAACTGGCAAACTGCAACCCTGAAAATGATGTGAATTAACAGCACAAAAATGAGAAACATTCACCACAAAACTGTACACTTGACAAGGTGACTTTTTTGGAATTTTGCTGTGTTAATGCCAGGAAAAAAACAAAAAAAACAAGCAGAATGTCTTCAATATAAAAAAAAAGGCACTTTCTTTGGATTGTCCACTGTAGGTACTTTGTAGATACTCAGTGTATCTTTAACTAAAATTCAACTAAACATCTATTAAATGGAACTGAACCTGACATTGCATGATAAACATTCTATTACATCTCTCCCTAAACCTGACCCTGACCCTAAATGTAATGCTAACATTAGTATGATCAAAAACTTTGTTAATAATTGAAGTACCTGTAAATCGTTTATAGGGGACCATCAAACGTGTGACCAAAAACAGTTGTTACTGTTTTATATTTTCCTGTATTTTATTAATGCATTTTTTAATTCTATCTATTATTAACATATATCTGTAAGCTTATAAGTGTGCAGGATGTGTCAGTTATAAACATGTTGCCGTGAGACCATGTGATTATAACTTCTCACTCTTTCTCTCCTCAGCACTCCATAGATGCGTTCAGTGCTGGAGTCAGTCCCATAGGAGACACCACCTACAACTTCAGCTACTGGGACCTGGGCAGTGCCTTCTTCTTCGCCGGAACGGTCATCACTACCATAGGTGTGTTTATTATTTTCAACCAGACACAAATATAGTAAACTGCATTTTTGTCACTGGAAACATATCAATTTTCATAGATATGTTGATGCTACATAATTCTACATTTTGATTCCTTCTGATGATCGAGACTCTGTAGACAAGCTGAGTTTCTCACAAACGTTTCTACAACTAAATCACGAAAAACTGAAATACTGATTGTTGGTGCTAAAACTCAGAGAAAGCTGCTTTATGAGAAGCTCAGCTCTTTATCTTCATCTACCAAACCTGCAGTAGAACCTGGGTGTGATCTTAGATGCTGAGCTTTGTTTTACCTTCACATAAACATTCACTAAAGCAGTTTTTGTCATGTAAGAAATATTACTAAAGTTCAGACTTTTCTCTCTCAGAGCGATGCAGAGAAACGTGTCGCTGCGTTTGTTCAGCAGTGTTGATTACTGTAATGATCTTACTGGAGAAAACAATCTGTCCTCTACAATTCGTACAGAACGCAGCAGCATGGATCCTCACAACACCAACACAGAGAGCTCATATCACCCCCCATTTACACACTGCGCTGACTGCCTGGATCTTTTAGGAGTGATTTTAAAGCTCTGCTGCTAGTTTTTAAAGTGCTATGTGACCCTAAAGCTCCTGAATGTCTGTCTCTTTATGATCTTAGATCTGCAGATACTGACCTTCAGCAAACACCTTCTGTAAAATACAGAAAATGTGGGAGACTCTTTCTGTTATTCTGTTTCTAAACTGTGGAGCTCAGTTCACCTTGTATTAGACAGTCAAGCTCGAGTTCACTTTTAATAAACATCTGTAAACACAGTTCTTTAACTCAGCGCTTAGTTAAAATTCTATTAGTTCAAATTCTATCTCTTAATGTGAACTGTGTTACTAATACTCATGATTTTTTCTACTACTGTTAAGCTTTATCATTTGTCTGTAAAGCACTTTGAGCTGCCACCGGTATGAAAAGTGTTCTATAAATAAAGATTATTATTGTATAATAAATAGTCTATGAATATAAATAATAATCTATAAATAAAGATCATTATTATATAATGTCAATTATTGGGTGACCTCATTACTGAGGAGGGACTTGACTGACCACTGAATTTAAAACAATTTTTCAGGGCCAGGCTAAAGATTTGTGGTTTGTGGTCAATGTATGAAATCCACCCTGGTATTCAGGGGTCCCATGTTAACTCACTCACACAGCGGTACTGATGCTTCAGTGGCAGTAAAATGTTTTATCAGTCCTTCTTCTGTAAATGCTCTGTTTTGGTTTGGTTTTGTGCTCTTCCTCACATTAACTGAGCTCTTACTCATCTCCTCTTCTGTCTTCAGTGACAGTCACTCTTTACACCAAACTGGGGAAACTGGGCGAGTTTTCAGATTTACAGATCTGCAGCACATTGTAAAGTTTTTCAGAGGAATCCAGGCAGAGTTACAGTTTCTAGGCAATGAAGGACCAACTGGGTGAACCAGTCTGCTACAGCACCACCCTGAGGCAGAGCAGTACTGCAGCTCTAGTTAGTAAACAGAAGCTGATTGAGGGCGAAGCAGATATTTGAGTGACTTAACCCTAACAGCCAGCATAACGTCATAATGATTATTTTCAGGAATCCCTAGAATTGTGATTTTGAGACATTCATGGGGCCCAAGAGGTTAATTAGGGGTTCTGGACCCCCCAGGACCCTGTGTATTTCAGATCTTGTTTGTGGTGAAGTACTAGCTAAGAAATGCAGGCTCAGTAAGTGAGTAGACCTACTATTTGATTACGTACTTGTGTGTGTGGGATAGACAAGGACTGGAGGGGGGGGCAAGTTTGGCAAACAGGGGGTCACAAAATATTTTTAACCCCAAAAAATAGTCACACCATGAAAAAGGTCAAGAATCCCTATTTTAGAAAATCCTCGTTGTGATGAACAAAAGTAATAATTAAGTTGCTTTAGCAGTTTTGTGCAGCAGGTTGAGTAGCTGCTGTTGTTATTAATAGAGTTGATACTGAATAGAAGACTCACTTTCAGTTGATGTCATTTTAGAAAGCAGGAGAGCAATTTCATGTGGAGATGTTCAGTGTAACTAATAGACCTGATTATGTGGTTTCTGACACTGTATGACTCACTGATATCTACACTCTTAAAATGATTGTTATTAAGTGGTTTTTAGTAAAGGGAATGGTTCTATTTAGAATTATGAGTTCTATATAGAACTGTCTAATCAACTATTCATCAACTATTTCTTAAATGTTTCTTTGCATGGTTAAATGGTTTCTCAGATTGACAGAAAAATGTATTGAAAGGGTTTTCCTATAGACACAATGTCAAGCTGGTAACAATAGCAGAACCCTTTTTGGTGCCATATAGGACCATTTTCAAAAAGATTCTATGTAGAACCATATACAACTCATTCTCCATCAGTCTGAGGAACCATTTCACCATGCAAAGAACCATTTAAGCATAAAATGGTTCAATGTAGAACTCATGGTTCTAAGTAGAACTATTGCCTTTACTAAAGAACCCTTGAAGAACCATCCTTTTAAGAGTGTATTTGTGGTGGTACTTTTTTAAGGCTACATAGCTTAAGCACTTAATGATGTATTAAAAAAGCGATGTTGGCATATTTATGAAAAGCTTATGTTCATATTCACACGATTTGTTTATTATGAAAGTGACAGAAGGCAACTAACATTTGTTTCATTTATAATACTTTTATGGAGTGTTATTACCAAGTGATGGAGAATCATTGAGTTTATGAAAGATTTTGATGCTGCCAAACTTTAGTCATATTTTGTATCCATCATTCATTGTCATTCTGGCAACAGAGACATGAATACTATAATAAAAATAAGTGTTGCTTTTTAAATGTTGTTCAGTGCATATGCATGTGTTATGAAGTCGCCATGGAGGTAGCTAAATAAAGTGTTACCGTTTTAGCCATGTGATGCGTTTTGTCCGTGTTTGTATATTACAGTATGTGATACAGTGTCAGAAACCATGTATTCAATTCTATTAGATTTTTCTTTTTGCCAAAGTAATGCCTTCATGAATTTCTTCTGCTTATGTAGTTGTAATGCTTCAAAGTCCTGAGTGAACGCACTCAGCACACTCTCAGGAGGCCGAGAGGGTTTTGGTGTGATAGATGGTGAAGTTTGGGGCTTGTCTGAGTGCGGAGAGCTGACAGGACTCCAGAGTAATCTAAAATCAGCTCTGACACCCAACACGCCTGACACACGGCGGACAGCAGCTCAAACATAGCTGAGAGAGAGCTGGTCTCTCAGGGCCTCACACTCCACAACCTGCACAAGTCTACAGCTATTATTGTCATTTAGCTGTACTACTTACATTTAATGTCAAGGTTAAAGAGTTAATAATGCATTAATGCATTAAAACTTGCAAGTGTTACACAAATGATTTTTTTTGGCACCAAGATGATGATGATGATTATCATTATTACTTTTATTTACATAGTGCCTTTCTCATGTTTAAGGACTTGTTACAATGTATGTGTCTGCATAGGTTTCCTCTGGATAAGCAACTTAGAAAATACGTGTGTGTCATATCTCACTTTGCCTGGGGGTTCTCCAGCAAAAACAGTGTAGCGTCACACTGACAGGAAGCCTGGAAGGCTGAAAATGTCCTTAGCTGCATTAAGGTAGTGTTTTCCTGCAGCCGAACACCACCAGTTCAGGTAGCCTGATGGCAGCAATGCAACGTCACCCAAGCGGCCGGCCCAGGCTGCAACATAGCTGCAAGATAGCATCAAACAGGCAACCGGTCCAAGCAGTTTCATAGCTACGATACTGCGTCACTCAAGTGACGTGTTCAGGCAACCTCACAGCTGCAATGCAGCATCACTCAAGCAGCATCACGCAAGGCTGCATCGAAGCTGTGATGTAGTGTTGCTTCAATGGTGAGCCCAAGAAGCCTCTGAACCTCACTTTCAGGCACTATCTTGGAGAACATGATGGCATACTCCTCTGCCAGCAAGGAAACATCAAAACATACACAAACAATACAAAAAAACAAAAAACAAAAACTGATTTAAAGTGAAGCGACAGCCGTATTGCATCAGTGTTCTCACATCAGAACACATGGCATAACTCCACATATCCCATTTTGTCTCCAGCCTTTTTATTTTATTTTAGTTTATTTCATTTTCATTTAAGTCATGAATAGGTACAAATACATACTTTTCACCTGGAAAAACTTATTTAAGGTTCACAAATGGACCTTAAAACAACTGTTGTACCTTTAAGGGAACATTTACATTGTTTGTACCTTGATGAATGAAAAAACATACCTGCATAGAACCTATATTTCTAACAGTGTAGTATATTTTCTGCATCTTTAAGTGTGAGGAAACCCACACCAGCAGGAGTGCATGTATGCTATAAGTCATACATTTCAAAATGGGATGCAAAATAGTTTATAACCCAACAGTAAACTTTAATTGGATCAACTCTAAAAACATGGTAAAACTTGTAGGCTAGCACAGCAGAGGGTGCCTCAGCTTCTGAATTCACAGCTGGGAGCTGGGAGAGTTTAGGAGTGTGTTTGTGTGTTTGGTAATTAGGGAAATCTGGAGCCGAGCTGAGCTCCGTCTACTGCTGTGTTCATTTAACTATACTTTTATCAGAGACCTGCTCACTAAAACTGAAACTGAAACTAAGCTAAATCTGCTACTTTTCTGAAAATAAAAACAAACCTAAACTATTAATGCACCCTTAAAACGAACCTAAAAACTAAACTGAAAAGCTTAAATGAAAAACTGAATAAAAAAAAACTACAGTAAATCTGATGTAAGCTTGACTGTCATGTATTTTGCTATGAAAAAGCCTTCGATTGCGGTCCATTCACATATGACCTTTTTAATGGCTTTTAAATTGATACCTTTTGTGATTTTATTGAATATTCGCTGTTTCCATCTGGTCTTCTTTATTCAATGTGCCAAAATGTATAAAAATGCAGGAAGATAGAAGGCTAGCAGTTGTGTTCTGCATCAGACACTGACTTTACTACAGTACTGTGTTTGAACTGAAGGGTAGAGACACACACATAGACTCTCTCTCTCTGAAGGATCTTGACTCGGTTCTCCTGCTGTGTGCTCTCCTGCAGGCTACGGCAACATTGCCCCGAGCACAGAGGGCGGCAAGATCTTCTGTATCCTCTATGCGATTTTTGGCATCCCTCTTTTCGGCTTCCTGCTGGCTGGCGTCGGGGACCAGCTGGGGACCATCTTTGTGAAGACCATCGCCAAAGTGGAGAAAATGTTCAGGGTAAGTGAAAGCCTGAGGAAAACACAGCATGTTTGCAGAGGAGAGCTGATTATAAACATACGGGTAACACTGACAAACTAAATAATCCAAACTGGGCTCATATTCAGAATGCGACAGTATTAGGTCATTCAAACTGGACGGCATGTTTTCTCTTTTTAACACGACGCCATTGGAGCATGGCACGCTTGGAGGAGAACGCTAACTAATGATTCAGCAGATGCTTGCTTTGCACTGTGCTGGAACTGCTGATTTTTTAATCAGATTTTTAGATGTAGTTAAGTCTTTATTTAGCTTCAGTTTTATTCTGTTTTTTTTGTTTTATGATGAATATTTTGTCAAAAATTGAACTTTAATGGAATTTTGATAAAATACGTTACAAGTGTTTTTTTTTAAGACATCATTATTTCATGGGCATTCAAAATTTTACATAGAAGGAAATTTTAAATCATCTTTCAGGCATTTGAAACATGAAAAACTAAAGTTTTTATTTTCTGTAATTCAATTTTTTGTGCATTTTGCAATGGATATAGCAATATTACTTTTCATTTTAGCTGTTATGTATTTGAAAAGTCTTTTTTTGTTTTTAAAATAGTTATTACAATTAGCTGTTTTTTATTTTTTTAATAGCTTTCAGTAATGATGATAATCCTGAACAAAACTTTAATATAATCTTGATTTCTCTCTGTTAATCTCAAAGGAATAGTTTATATATTATATTATGTATTATATAATATCTTAAGGGGTGTAGTTACTGTATTTATGTGATTTGGTAGCTCTGCTATTTACTGATATTAGATCCATTCCATATACAGTGGTAAAAATAACACACTTTTTTATCTTTTTTATATACTTTATCTTCATCTTACTTTTTTATTTACTTTTTTAATCACATTTTTTATTAATCACTTTTTTTTACCTTTTTTTCTACTCAAACTGGAATTTTAAATGGTCAGTGTCAAAAGGTGCACTGTTTATATTAGCAAATTTAGGTCATAATAAGGTTTTGATATTGAAAGTATGTTTAAGCAGTCAGTTTTGGGTGGGCCAGTGTCAATAGTGGGTTAAATCAAATCAGAGATGAAGCTGTAAAGTGAATAAAATATCTTAAGACTGTATTAATCTGTAAAATCTTATCTCTTATCCACACATATGGGGAATCTCATTGCCCAGAATATTACATTATTGTATTGTGTGCAAGTAGCTGCTCTTCACATTCACATCCTGCACGTCATGAGCAGTTGTTCTTTATCTTAATTTCAGGCCAACTTGCTCCTGGTGCTGTTATCCAAAACATTAAGTGTGTTGTTCATGTTAATATATGCAGAACCATTCCTCTGTCCTCAGGGGGCTCATTGGGGGGGGCGCTGTAGTGCTGGGAACTGTTAGGGTGTGCTGGCTAACACCCAGCTGGTCAGCGGGGCTGGTAAACAAACAGTAGCTCCACGACCTTCGCCCCCAGCAGGGTCCAGCTCACTGCGACAGAAGCATCTGCAGAAAAGCGTGAGATTGTTTCTTATTAGGGCTAATCAGGCTTCATTAGAGCCGAATGAGGTCTGATAGAGCGACGGCACCTTCGCTGAGTCACGAAATGTGTTTAATCACACTGCATGTGGCTTGCGCTGATGACGAAGTCTCACACCCAGCCCAAGTAATGAAACAGACCTCTCCCCTCTCGAATATAAAACCGGATTTCCTTTTATTTTAATGTTCACAAATTCCCATTTTCACAGCTTATTGCTGTATTCGTGCATATCAGGAAAATCCTGGAAATGAAGGACATGATATTTAACATGCAGAGATGCATACAGGTTGTATTGAGCATAGCTCTCAGTAAAGTGTTATTAATTTACACATATTGTAGACCGGATGTTCTTGTTTGCAGTGCTGAATTAAATCTTCTTGGAGAAAACTGCACATAGACGTCACTACAATATCCAGCAATTATCCAGCTTTTGTTCACACCTAATTCTAGCCAGGACATTGGTGGGAAACATTAAAAGCCAGAGCTCACCAACCAAACATTCTGCACAAACAAGAGCATTAAAATGTGTGAAATTGTCTTTAGAATGTTTCTAAAAAGAAACAACCAAATGAACCACAGTGAATGAGGAAAGAACATTCAGAACCAGAAAGTATTCAATACCAGACCCTGAATCTGTTTTTCTTAGCTGTATTTGGTCACTGATAGTTTGACCACTGATGGAACTCATTGATGCTCAAAGCAGTTGATGGTCCACCATTGATGTTACTAATTGACCACCGCATGATTAATGCTGTTGTAGTAGTTTCAGCACTCATTTGGCAATACAGCCTCTCTTTCTTGACCAAGCTGTGGACTTCAAACAAGTAGCCATCACTTTCTTCCCTGGGTCCACATAGAATGCAGATTGATTGTTGTTGTTCTGCCCCCAGTTTATTTCTATTTCTTATTGACGTCCTGTCCACAATCATGAACTTCATATTCACACCACTGCTTTATCAAAAAAGGAGAATCATGAATAACAGTGATGGAAACACTTTTTTTGAATAAGTGATGGCATAGCAGGAAAAAGTCACATGTTTACTGTGCTAACTGTATATCTTACTTAATGGTACACTCTTAAAAAAGATGGTTCTTTAAGAGTTTTTTTTTATTAAAGTCAATGACTATGTATAACCAAGAACACCTTTTCATGATTAAAGGGTTCTTTGCACCATTAAATTGTTCTTCAGATTGATGAAGACTGTGCTGTAGATGTTTCTATATAGAATGTTGTTGAAAAGGGTTCTATATAGCACCAAAATGGTTATCCTATTGTTATGATGTAAAGCTTGTAACAACAGAAGAACCCTTTTTGGTGCTATATAGAACCCCTTTCAAAAAGGTTCTAAATAGAACCATATAAAACACACTCTCCATCCGTCTGAAGAACTCTTTCACAACGCAAAGGATTCTTTGAGTGTTAATGGTTCTAAATAGAACCATTTTCTTTAATAAAGAACTCTTGAAGAACCATCTTTTTTAAATGTATATATCAAATTTGTACACCACTATGGTGCCATTACTATTTTGAACACACTATAACAGTGTTCAGACACAGCCATCAACACCACATCTAGACTGGTGCTTGTAGAGGTTTGGTGGGCGACTTCAGCCCCCATTAAATGGGTCATTGCCCACTCCACCTGGAATCTCTGGGCTGTTATGATTAGCAGGGGGCAAAAACTGCTACACTTTGGTCTCACACCTTAAAGCGTGAACACTGATATTAACTTTGGGAATTTGCACATAAGTACTGGAAAAAAAGAATTCTTTACCTGCTTTTTTGAAATTTGCTATATATTTATGAAATGTTTGAGTCGAAACAACAACTGAGCGACACTTAGCTAACCAGCAGATCACTCCATTATAAAGATAAGGTAACCTAGCAATAGTTAATGGTCCCTAGTGCTTACTTTGCTTTCAATACATTGCAAATACCTGAAATCATTTGCAGTTACCATACACACAATGATGAAATCAAGTATGGAAATGCATGAAGTGAAATAGAAACAGTTTCACAGACTCCCTCCTTCATTTTGAACTTAGGGGTTGGAGTAGCTGCTGGTAGAAACAGCTCCAGGCTCTTTTTAGAATCTGAATGCTGCAGGGATTCCCCCGAGGCAAAGTACGGAGTGCATTTCTTCTCTGGAAGCAGAACGTTTGCTCGAGTGCTTCCTCTCACTCGTTATTACTCAGACTTCTTACAACTTGTTGTGTGAGTGCTCACGCTGCAAGATTTATCACCAATAATTTCAAACATGCTGGAAAATGTCAGGACTTCTGTAACAGTTCACAGGCTGAGAAAATCCCAGACTGGATAAATCAGATCCCTGAGCTGTTCTCAGTGAGTCCGGCACGAGCAGCAGTTAGCCGCTAATCTTAAAAAGGTTGTCACAGAACCAACAAAATGTGTCTGAGAAAAGAAAATCTGGGACATAATGGTGTAGTGTGCAATGGGCTTATTACAATCATAATTAGCTCACAATCATATAAATAATTACAATGAAAAAATTATTTTTTTATTTTATTTTGTTAATTGTTAGAGACTACAAGCTTAATGTAGCAAACTGGTCTAATCAGCCGTCTTGCTTCTTAGCTCTAAAGGTGTCATTAACATCAAATAAACAAACGTCACTTGCCGCCGCCCTCTAAAGGCATCATTACCAAACATCAAATAACAAACGTCGCTCACCGCCGCCCTCTAAAGGCATCATTACCAAACATCAAATAAATAAATGTCGCTCACCGCCGCCCTCTAAAGGCATCATTACCAAACATCAAATAAACAAACGTCGCTCACCGCCGCCCTCTAAAGGCATCATTACCAAACATCAAATAAACAAACGTCGCTCACCGCCGCCCTCTAAAGGCATCATTACCAAACATCAAATAAACAAACGTCGCTCACCGCCGCCCTCTAAAGGCATCATTACCAAACATCAAATAAATAAATGTCGCTCACCGCCGCCCTCTAAAGGCGTCATTACCAAACATCAAATAAATAAACGTCGCTCACCGCCGCCCTCTAAAGACGTCATTAACAACCATCAAATAAACAAACGTCGCTCACCGCCGCCCTCTAAAGGCATCATTAACAAACATCAAATAAACAAACGTTGCTCACCGCCGCCCTCTAAAGGCGTCATCAACAAAAATCAAATAAACAAACATCACTCGTTGGCGCCCTCTAAAGACGTCATTAACAAACATCAAATAAACAAACGTCGCTCAGTGCCGTCCTCTAAAGACGTCATTAACAACCATCAAATAAACAAACGTCACTCACCGCCGCCCTCTAAAGGCGTCATTAACAAACATCAAATAAACAAACGTCGCTCAGTGCCGTCCTCTAAAGACGTCATTAACAACCATCAAATAAACAAACGTCACTCACCGCCGCCCTCTAAAGGCATCATTAACAAACATCAAATAAATAAAGGCGTCATCAACAAAAATCAAATAAACAAACATCACTCGTTGGCGCCCTCTAAAGACGTCATTAACAAACATCAAATAAACAAACGTTGCTCAGTGCCGTCCTCTAAAGACGTCATTAACAAACATCAAATAAATAAACGTCACTCAGCGCCGCCCTCTAAAGGCATCATTAACAAACATCAAATAAACAAACGTCATTCACCGCCGCCCTCTAAATGTGGTTTCTGCCCTTTTTTATTTGACATATTTGGCTCAATATAATGGTTGAATACTTATCCAATTCACATTCTATGAAGTAAAGTAAACTTACAACTGTAGAAAATAATTGTTCTCAGCTTATATAACTGCTATCAGGCGATAAAGGAATAATCGTGACAGGCCTCTCGTTTCCAGCCTCTCACATGTTCTGTCTCATCTGTTTCTCCGCCAGCGTAAACACAACCAGATCAGTCAGACGAAGATCCGTGTGGCCTCCACCCTCCTTTTCATCCTGGCTGGCTGCATCGTCTTCGTCACCATCCCTGCTGTCATCTTCAAACACATAGAGGGCTGGACGGCACTAGAGGCCATTTATTTTGTGGTTATCACACTGACGACGGTGGGCATTGGAGATTATGTTGCAGGTATTTAAATGACACTGAATGTTCTACATTGTATGTCCATTAGATACATCACCAACCAAAGAACACAGTGATAATCAGTCCTAATTTACACACAAGTGATCTGCAGTTGATTAGGTTCTGATTCAGCCCTTTCTTATTGACTTTACTGGGCTCATTTATTGCCATATTGAAATAAACTGCCTAATGCCGTGATTTCCATTCCTTCTCTATAGACTTGCACAGTGATGCTAATGTGAATTGACAGTGTTTACTGCGGCTGTAGACTGAATCTCCATTACAGCCTTTTATAGTGCTGATAAAACCTCCTTCTCAGGGACACCTGAGATTTTATTGCCTCTTGGAGAGAAGACAGTTTGTGTGAAGATGGCCGGCTTCTGCTCTCAAGAAGAGTTTTACTGTGTATTAACCCTCAGAGCTCTGCAGTATTGTTACTTTGCTATACTATTTAAATGTATTTAATACATAATTATGTGGATAGTTACATAATTAATTACATTCACATTCAATTTACATTCTTTATAGAAATTACAAAAAACATCTAAAACGTAAAATTTGTTTTTTCTTACTTAATATGAGACTGCTAATTTGCTATTATGCACTATACACATAGAGATTATAAGAGACCAAAAACTCTGATAGCCAATAATATCAGCTAATATAATTTTACCCTAAAGTTTAACTTTACATTCCAAAGGTTTTATTTAAATAGTGCTTTACTGACTGATAAATGATTGTCAGTTCTCAGTGACCACACTTATTAAATTCAAATAATCAGCATAAACTCTGTTACTTACTTTTTATTTTTCTGTTTTTTTTATTTTTCTTCATTAAAACAAGTTTGCAGGGTAATAATCTCATGCTAAACATGAGGTCTGGATGTATTTTTGTTTGATATTTTAACCATGATGGTGTTTTATGTTCAAATTTACAGCCTTTAATACAGTTCAGCCTGCATTACTGTGATACAGTTAAATAGTGGAGACATAACAAACTGCCCAAGGTTTGGCCCAATTATAAGGAATCCCAGCTGTGCTGCAACCCTGAAAATGGATAATGATCAGCTCATTATGTAATCATTTCACCAGTCCTGTTAAACGAGTACTGTGTAATTTGGCCAACCGATTTACTGGTCTGTGATATTGGTTGAGAGTTCAGAGTTCAATAAGCTGTATGACCTAAATAATAAGATGAAAACAAGCTTTTGTTTTCACCAGAAAAAAACTATGACTTGTAAGAGTTTATGTGTTGTGTTGTTCTCGGATCTGCGCTAAATTTGTCTCTCAAATGTGTGTTTCAGGAGGTAACAGAAGAATAGAGTATTATAAATGGTACAAGCCACTGGTCTGGTTCTGGATCCTGGTTGGTTTGGCCTATTTCGCTGCTGTCCTGAGCATGATCGGAGACTGGCTGAGAGTCCTCTCCAAGAAGACAAAGGAGGAGGTGAGCATTTAGCATTAGCATGAGCAGACAGTAAAAAAAACAGTTTTTTTAACCGTCCAAGATGTCCAATGGTGAACCATGAGTATTAGCCCTAGGCCTTCAGTTCTGGCCTTAAATGTGGTTATGCAGCTCATATTCACAGTTAGTGACATATTTATCTTTCAAAAAGACTAGAGTGACCATTTTGACTCACCACACATTGTAAATCAAAACATGTTTGGTTGATTCCTCTTTCATGAGATTATGTTGGTAGTTAATCTAACCAGCTGGAGAGCTCACTTAGCTGTATCTACCTAGATACCATGGTGAAAACAGTCCTGATAGGACAATTTTCTGTTGGGCATTTCAAGAATTTAATCCTTTTGTTTCCAACCAAATTTCGCAATGAAATTGGAGTGTCAAACCAATACTTGCAGAAACACTATGTAAGATTGGGGGTTTTGGAGACCTCTCTGGTGGAAATATGTAATTACACCCATCATGTGGAAGAACATTTTGTAATGCTGGCTGTGCTTCAGACCAAGCAGATGAATCTAACTTTTGCGAGTGGAGTGAAAAAGTTGATTTTGAAATCTTTTGAGACCTAAACATCGAGCTGGACCTTCTTTTTGAGTCTGTGAGTGTGACGTTAATACGTAAAGACATACTAAATTGTCTGAAAACTCCTGCCAAATCCATCTTGGTGCCTCTGACTTTTAAATGATTATTTCAGAGTTGCAGCTATGCAAGCTCACCATATTTTAGTGTGTTCCTTTTTTCCCAATACATAAGAATGCTACTTCTTTCAGTTTTAACAAAAATATTATATAGTGCTGCTTTATATACAATAAGTACCATGATTGATTCTATTAAACAGAAATGACCTAAATATTATAGTCATGTGTTATTTAGGTCCCAGCCACACCAACACGTCATGTGTTATTTAGGTCCCAGCCACACCTTCCTTGAAAACTTAGAAGGCCCTGAAGGTTCCTCACTGCAGAAGGCCAGACCAATGGATTGTAAAAGCAAAAAGAATCAGTAGCTATTGTAAACTGTCATGACGTGCAGTGTTTCATATTTGTTATTATTCATATATTATTGTATTGGTCCAATAAACACAATCTTGATTATGATTAGCAGTCAATGAATTGAGAATTGTCCTGTTATTCTCAGGTTGGGGAGTTTAAAGCCCATGCAGCCGAGTGGAAAGCGAATGTGAGGGCTGAGTTCAGGGAGACGAGGCGTCGGCTCAGCGTTGAAGTTCACGACAAACTGCAACGTGCGGCCACCATCCGCAGCATGGAGCGCCGGCAGCTCGGTCTGGACCAGCGAGCTCATTCCCTGGACATGCTGTCCCCTGAGAGAAGAGCAGCCTTTAACAGCCTGGACACCAACCACTTCAAGACCTCCTCACAGGAGAGCATCGACACGAAGCTGAACAACCTGCGTCTGCGGGTGGAGCAGAGCGAACACCGGCGCAGCGATCCAAACCAGGCCTCATCCGAGGACAACATCTTCAACCGGCTGAGCTCGGTCACCAAGCTGACTAAGCGCACCAAGACCAGAGAGCTGAAGAAGAACATTCCAGGAGATGGACGAAGGGCCAACAGCGCCATGGACGAAGAGAAGAAGGAGATGGAGGAAGAGGAGCTGGAGAAGGATATCAACACCAGCCTGACCAACTTGCCTCTGTTTGTGGAGAGCCCGAAATATCAGAACGGATTCATACCAGTGCCACTACAGACCAAAGAAGAAGAAGAAGAGGAGGAGAGCAAGAAAAAACTTGAACAGAGCGAGTTTCATGTGCAGATGGACGCCTAGACAAGAAACGTGGTTTTTAGGAGAACACAAGTGCCTTATTTCACCTGTTGCCCCAATGGGAAACCTGATGTTTGATGTTTGTCGAACTGTTCACTGTGTCCTGACAACTTGATCAAAGAAAGAGTAACTAATGCAACAAGAAATCTGAAAGAAACCTTGGTCCCTACTGGTGACCAGACCACTGAATTGTAACAAGCTGGTAAAGACTAGCAGAGTGTTAAACAACACTTATGGAACCATAGCAAACTGCAATGATGAGACTGAACTTACTTCATTATGAAGCTTTCCTTATGGAAGACTTTGGCATGAAACCCTGGGATCATTCAGCTTAGTTGCAAAATTGCAAGCAAGTTGCAGAGAGACTCTCCCTCAGATATTCAGTATATATATATCCCCCAAATTCAGATTCCCCCAAAGATAGTATAGAATGAAGGACAAGTCTCTGAAGAAGAGCCACTGAGGTTCAAACTAAAAAACGTTGCATGGTCTTGGATCTTTAACGTCCTCTTAAGAGTACTGTGTTCCAGTAATGCTGTCCATTTCATGAATACTACCAATGAAATCTCAGGGCTTGTGGTCCAACCCTAGTTGTTGTTATGTAAGGTATGTCTGATGTATGCTGCATTCACACTCAAAATAAAAACCACGTTCATTGCGTCAGTTTCACTGCAACTGTGTGATTTGACAGCTTATATGACAATGGAATGGAAGCCAAGCCATAAGGTAGAGAAGGATGATCGCCAGGGCCATTTCTGAACATTTGGGTATCTCCAACCACCCCATTATCAAATAATTTAATTTGTATGCAAGTATGAAATACTTTCATAATCTTTAGGTCAGCAGGAGCGCCAAGTGTTCAAGTGTAAACTAGCTAGATGAGCATGAGAAAAGCAAAGAATGCATGAATATACAGTATTTTTGCAGCCCAAATTGTATGTGTGAAGTAAAAGAAACTAGACTGAACACACCCTACAATAGTTTTGCTTAACAACTAGCTTGGGAGAGAGCTAACAGTCTAACAGACTACTCCAGTAATATTTAGAGTTAAGCTTCAGGGTAAACTAGGGGTTGCACGACTTCAGATTTTTTAAAGCTGAGAGTTATGTGATGGAAGTCAAGTTGATGTCTACCAATCGCTGATGACATCATGCCATAAATAAGAGTAACTGATTTCAAACTGCACAGGATTACAGGGCGTTATGCTACTCTCCAATCACACAGGACTTTTCATTGTAGTCTTCAGGAAACCAGATATAACTACGTTCAATATCTGATCTTTGAAGCGCTGTAGATCAGCAGAGAAATGTTACAACTTTCCCAAACTCCACAGGTCAGTACAGCATGACACAGCCTTTTCAGCAAGGCTTGGCATTGCTAGCCTTCAGGAAGCCAGAGATATGGACCCCAAAAAAGACTCCTCACTTGCGGTCTTCTCTAAAGTGTCCATGTTGTTCGTGTCATAATCACACGATCAGCGACTTTTTTGACATCAAGCTTAAAGCGTCATCGCTGATCAATAAGTTGACAAGTCTGTGCAACCCCTAGGATAAAATACATTTACTAAAGAATTGGGACCGACAAAGTAAAGAATACTCTTTTCAGATCACAAGGGGGCCCCCTGAGACAGCTTGAACCACAGAAAAACAGTTTTTCAGAAGTTCCTCCACCTTTAAGGTACATCTTTAGAAGGGGAGTTTCCTAGTCTGCACTGCTCTAGGAGGACAGTAGAGGTGTAGAGATGGTTCATTTTTCATTTTGGCAGGAATGTCCCTTTAATTAACGACACGCTCATGGGGGCACCTTGGTGGTTGGAGGCCCTAAGCAACTGCTTATACCACTTATAGGCAGAACTTACAGCAAGAAACGGCCCTGGTGTTTGTTTTGACTTTACAGACCGGGGTTGATGCACTTTTTAGGGTATGATGGCAAAGCAGTATGTCGTCTGATAAGTGTAATCACTCACTATACACTTCATTGTCACACTTAGCACTTTCTGACAAGCCAGAGCTTTATTTGATTTATTTTGAACTTTCAGCTGCAGATTGGAATCATTACTAAACTGTGAAACTGTGCTGTGCAATATGCCTTCCTGTGTGTGTCTGAACATGTATGTATGTGTGTTTGTGTTGAATCTAAACGGCATTGTCTGTTGTATATGGTGTCTAACAGATTGTATTATGCTAAAATTCCCTCGCACAAAAAAGGGGAGCATATCAGTACCTCACTATCGCACACATCCACACATCTACGATGCAACATGCTTGTTGTTAAGCTTTACATACCTGAACATGCTATTCTCGTTTGCAGTAGTCTAGTGTGAATGCAGCAAAGGACTTAATGTTTGTGATGAAGATGCTATAAAGACTTAAAAATGTTCAAAGCATTAAAAAGAATTTAGAGACATGGATACTAAAGCATGCTATTGTGCTTATATATTATCAAGGTATGGTATTGATTGTACCAGTACATGCTTCTGAAGACTAGCATTTATAATTGTCCATGCTAAAGCTCAGATGCGGGCCGCACATTCTCAGTTTAATGGAAGTTGTTCACAGTACGTGCAACCATTACATTCAATGTAGTGAGTGCCTTTTGGAAATAAATCTACTGAATGAAGTCTGGCTCTGTTTCGTTGATGTTTCCTGCACTCTGACTTATCTGTGTTTATCAGTGTTCCTGTCAGACATATCCTTTTCCTCTTCTACAAGGATGACCTTCTGAAACAGATGAATCAACTCTTTTCAGTCTGTTTGTTCCCTCTTCTTAAAAGAGCTATTTAGAGATCCAGAGACAACAGTCACCTTCAGACCAGTTTCCTGGTGTAGGATCACATGTTTTATGATCTTCAGACCGACTTACACAGGTGTAATGAAGCATTCTGCTGATGAGAGATACACTGCCCTTTGGAAACTGTAGACTAATGTTTAATTTTTTTCTGGCATTTTTAACTTAACACTATCAATGTAATGATTTAGTTAGTTTTGTCTAAATAACGATTTGAGAGTTTTCCTCTACTCTCCCATTAGACTCAGTGCTGCCCCATCAGACACTACCACTTACTACCACTTCAGACACACTGCTGTGCCATACACTTCTACTCATCAGGCCCATCAGACCCATTACTGGCCCATCAGACCCATTGCTGCCCTTTCAGACTTGTTGCTGCCCCATCAAACTCACTACTGCCACTTCAGTCTTGCTGCTCCCCATTCAGACTCGCTACCACCCCATCAACAACTCCATCAGAATCAATACTGCCTCACCAGACTCAGTACTCCTCCATCAGATTCAATACCTTCTCAACAGACTCACTACTACCCCATCAGACCCTCTACAGCTCCATCAGACTCACTAATGCCCAATTAGATGCACAACAGCTCCTTCAGACTCACTTCTACTGTCAGACTTACTGTTGCCCCATCAGACTCATTACTGCCCCATGAGACTCATTACTGCCCCATTAGATTCATTACTGTACCATCAAACTCACCACTGCCCTCATCATACTCACTACTGCCCCATCGGATTTACTACTACCCATCAGACTCAATACTGCCCGATCAAACTCACTACTGCCCCATCAGACTCCCTACTGCCCCGTCAGACTCAATGCTGCCCCATTAGACTCCCTACTGCCCCGTCAGACTCAATGCTGCCCCATCAGACTCACTACTGCTTCATCAGACTCACCGCTGCCCCATCAGACTCAATGCTGCCCCATCAGACTCACTACTGCTCCATCAGACTCATTACTGCCCCATTAGACTCACCGCTACCCCATCAGACTCAGTACTGCTTAATCAGACACACTACTGCCCCATTAGATTCATTACTGCCCCATCAGACTCACTACTGTCCCATCAGACTCACTACTGTCCCATCAGACTCACTACTGCCTCATCAGACTCACTACTGCCTCATCAGACTCATTGCTACCCCATCAGACTCACTACTGCTTAATCAGACACACTACTGCCCCATTAGATTCATTACTGCCCCATCAGACTCACTACTGTCCCATCAGACTCACTACTGCCTCATCAGACTCACTACTGCCTCATCAGACTCACCGCTACCCCATCAGACTCACTACTGCTTAATCAGACACACTACTGCCCCATTAGATTCATTACTGCCCCATCAGACTCACTACTGTCCCATCAGACTCACTGCTACCCCATCAAACTCATTACTGCCCTATAAGACTCACTACTCCTCTACATCAGTATGGGAACTGAAGTTTTCACGACTCCATTCTTCTGTTTTTGGATTCCTTTGGTCTAAAATAAAACACTAAGGCTCTAAAGTGAGAGGAGAGAGTAACAGTAAAGCAGTTCAACAGACACAACAGCATGAATGTAAACTCAAAAAAAGAGAACTGAAGAAAAAGTCGATTATAAGTCTCACTAATATACTACAGTAGAAAATGTATCAGGATTGAAGTCTCATCATCTAGTTAATTGCTTATAAAATAAGTATGCAGTAGTAGTTACTTAAAGGAATACTAAAGCATGTTTCATCCTAACCTAACCTGCTACTGGTGTAAAGTATATTTTATTTTCTAGAAAACAGACTCAAAATATACTGTGCACTGACTTATCCTATGAAATGTATGTCCAAAAATGTCCTGTTGCTTCTTGTAATGAGTGCATTCAGATACTATAAGGTGCACCTATCATTCAGCGTCAATGCTAATGGCACGAGCACATTAAGTAAATTCTAAAGACTATTTTTAATGAATACTTTCTTTGTAGTCTGTAATTTGGGTAACAGTGTTGAACCTTCAAAGTGACCTCATCAATCAATATCACTATCACTGAAAATTTAGACAATAACTTTTTCTTATCAATGAGAATTTTTAATGCATTTGGGGAGATCATCTAAAACAGCATCAGCTTCTAATTTTGCCATAACCACCTATTGCAGTTCTTTGGTTTGAGGAGTTTGAGGAGTTCAACCAAGCATAGATTTTTTTTCATAGGCTTCTTCTTTTTGTGCATTGGTGCTGAAACTTATTTAATCTTTTCATTTTATTCTTTGACACTCAGTAAGTCTCACTGCATGACTTAAGGCTTTTTATCTAGAAGTTCCCACCTCATGATACTCGTCTCACACAATTGTGCATGCGTGTTTTCTGTTAATTAACAGTTTCAGAACAGTGAAGACACCTAGAGTGGGAAAAAACAGTGTAAAACTTCCTGTAAAAAAAAAAAAAAGAGAGAGATGAGTTGATCATAAACATACCTGTGAGAAAGGCTGAATCAGAGAGTCAGAGAGTTGGAGGAATTTTAATTTCTCTGTTGTATTCATGATAGACTTGTCCAACCATCATAAAAAATGGTGCAATTAAGCCTTTTCTGAGCTTATCGGTTATTTGACTTTTTGAATAAGACCTTCAGTTAAGTTACATAATCCACTGAAGTCTGAAATTACTTAAGCAGCAGAGTGAGAACAGGACATTGCAGTGCCTGAACTTGATTGCAATAGTAATTCACTCACTGACCATACTGAATAATTACTGTGATGGTCACAGCAGCCTTTGAGAGCTGGATGAAGGTCATCTGGCTGAAATATTTTTGATTAAAAGTCTTAGCATATGAGCACTGAATTGAAAAACAGCAGCTTTAAGATCTTGGACTGAGTACTGTATGGTTTGTCTGCTAAGCCTCCATGTGTTTTCAGGTTTACTGAAAATCTCTAATATAAAGATGTAACTACAGTTTCTCATTAGGTCGAATGAATAACCGACTCTAAATGTAGGTATTGTGATATAAACTGAGTCTGTTCTACAGTTTCTCATTAGGCTGAATGAATAACTGACTCTAAATGTAGGTATTGTGATATAAACTGAGTCTGTTCTACAGTTTCTCATTAGGCTGAATGAATAACCGACTCTAAATGTAGGTATTGTGATATAAACTAAGTCTGTTCTACAGTTTCTCATCAGGTTGAATAGAATTTTACCAGCGTTTCGAAAGTAACCAAAACTTCTTTATTGTTTTTATTTTTCCTTGTCCTTCTCCCTCTTCTTCTTCTTCTTCTTCTTCTTCTTCTTCATTTACATTCTAGTCCTTTTCCTACTTCTTCATCTTCTTCCTTGTCCTCTTCTTCTACTTCTTTCTGGTTGTTCCTTACTTAGTCTTTATTTTTCTTTGCTTTACTTTTTCCTTGTTCTTCTTCTGAAGTCCCAACCAATGGTTGAGCTCACCTTGCTAATCTACATGGATGCCATGGAAAACCAATTCTGATTGGATACATTTGATTGTGTGTTTTAAAAATTGTACCTCTTTTGTATCTAACCAAAACATAACATTGACATTAGATTATTACAATACTTACAGAGTTTAAACACAACAAACCAGATGATTATGTTAAATATAAATGAACCAGAAAAAACAAAAATGTTTTTTTTTTATTCCACATAAATTATTAGGCCTTCTCTGAAGGGCTAGAAGACCCTGAGGGTTCCCCTCTGGTGTTCCATTGATGTTAATTAGATTATGAACTGTCTCTTCCTGCTCTGAGTTCTCCAACTTCACACTGTGGGAACGTTTCCATGTGTCTGCAACTCGCAGTGGGAAAAACATGCTTCCTGTAGCGTTTAAAGAAGGATTAATGCCCCGACAACAACTTGTACAGCACATTTCAATGTAATTTCCTCTCAGCCGCTGGCAGCGCTCCACACTGAGGGTTCATTTACACCCAGAAATTGCAATGAACAGGATTAATGTAGAATTAATAGACCACATTGAACAGAGCAGAGTGCTTACAATTTCTGATGCTTCTTCTTCTAGTTCTTGTTCTTTATTTCGCCAAGTATGTCACACATACGAGGAAACACATATCGTCACTGTCCAAAGAAAAACATGTAGCTCCAAAATAGTAACTTTACAGGAGAGTGCAAAAACGTTCTTTACTTTCAATGTAAGTTAATGGAAAGAGATTTTATTCTAAGCAACTTTGGAGCATTTCTATTAGTCCAATCTTCATGAAATTTTCACACAATATAAAGGACACCTTCTGAGCTCAAACGATGCAGAAAAGTAAAAATTGCAAAAAATAGAGATACCTGTTTTTCATTGGACAGCGACGATATGTATAATATTAACACACTGAACAGACCAGGCAAAAACACAGACTGATGACACGTATTTAACTAAGAGACATATGACATAAAAATACAATAAACAGAACAGTCCACAATTGTGGTTGTTGCTGCATCAGCTGCTTGACTCCCTTTCTGTAGGCAGACTTATCCCCTTTGGTTATGAGGCCCAGCACAGTGGTGTCATCTACAAACTTCAGGATCTTAACAGCTGGTTCCTCAGAGACACAGTCATTGGTGTAGAGACTGAAGAGCAGGGGTGAGAGCACATGTCCCTGTGGTACTCTAGTACTGAGGCTCCGGGGGTCTGATGTGTCTCCCTAGCTGCACCTGCTGTCTCCTGTTTGTCAGGAAGTCCACGATCCACCAGCAGATGGGATCTGGCACCGAGCAGGAGCAGGTTGGCCTACAGTAGCTCTGGCACCATGGTGTTCAATGCCAAGCTGAAATCCACAAACAGGACTCTCATGCAGGGTCCAAGACTGTCAAGATACTGC